CTTGACAGTATCCTAAATACATGTATTAATTAAATTATCAGGGACTCGCATTTCCGAATAACGCTGAAGCCTAATGCGTGAAAGATCAAATGTAATATTAGTTGACACTCTGCGAGAAAAGAATATATCAACTTATACGAATAGGGGTATTTATAATTTTTCCTTTACAGTAAATTCATTTAAACTAAATCTGTTTGTAGATTTTGTAATTGGGGACCTCCACAGGAACTAAGAAGAGATTTTTAATCCCCACCGTTCCATTTTCAAATTTGTAGCAGGTGCAGTTTCTGATGCAAGTCACTTAAAGACACTGGAAAAATAATGGACAATTAACGAATTATGAGTCCAGCAACATGAACTTTGTTCTACAGTATGGCTCTCGTCCATGCGTATCTCCTATATATATATATATATATATATATATATATATATATATATATATATATATATATAAAGAAAACTCGAAGTCACAAAGCACATGATGTACCTAAACAACATGTACAATAAAGTTTTTTTATATACACATGGTGACGGCTACCCGTGACTAAGGCCATTTGAATATTCTTACTGTCCGTATTCTCTTTGGCCATGATCACGTGAGGAAACGATATTTTCCACCGATGTTAACTTTTTTTTTCATTAGGTCACAAAGCCATTTGTTGCTTTATACTCTACAGTCACCTGAGTTGTCATCATTTGCTCGTTCTCTTGAAGATTCTGTTTGAACATTTTCCTTATAATTAAAGGTTTGGGTTTTAAGGGAAGCCGTTTTCTAGACTCGGCAAATAAGAAGTAATCTTAGAAACGTTTTCCCTTAAATGCACTATAGTTAAGTATCCGCGTCATCATATTGTAGGTAATGCCACCGTTAATTAAATGGTTTTAAACTGGTAATGGTTACCGGCTATATATTCCAGCAAGCCACGAGCTGTTTCAACGTAGGATGCTGACGGACACCAACCTTACTAAAATTTTACTCACTTTATTTTGTGATCTAAATGATATAAACATTCACCGATGGTCAGAAAAAGTTATTATGTTATGTTATCGTTATGTTAGTTAATTTTAATTTCTTCCCATTTGTCCTTTTCAATCATATGTTAATACAGCGATTATCTGACGCAGCATATGGGCTTTTTGTATTGTGAAAATAATGAAAAAGCATCTTGTGACCAACTACCATTCTCTAGATTAAATATGGATTGC